CTCTGGCTTTCTTCCCTGTGTTTTCCGGACTCGACTCTGGCTTTCTTTTCTGTTGAACTCATAATGAGAAGAGCTACAAACGTAGGTGTTTAAAAAATGATGTTGCTATTTAAAAAAATGAAGTTGACCTTTATTTGAACTTGACGCCTCCACCCAAAATCAATCTTTTTGTTATCAAAATTTGTCCGTCTCGAAACAATACAACCGAAAAAAGCAGATCTCGATATTTTATTGAGTTATCGACCTATTAAGTTTGAAATTTAACACCCTTTCATGAATCATTAACTAGTGACAGTTACTAACTTTTTTTACTTGGTCGTTACCAAGTAATGTTAACCAATTACTTCTAAAAAGTAACTTTTCTATCTCTGATAAATAGGGCTGGTTTCACCATGTTCGATTAGTTTAATCGGCCGATTAATCCATTGAAACCAATCGTATTTGTCGTTAAGCAAATCAACCAATAGTTGGTTGACACTTAGGGCCAGTTTTATCAACGTCGGTTAACTGTAACCTTCGGTTAAATTCACTCTTTGTCTCTTTCTAATGCCCATTTCTGCCAACGTAGATTAACTTTAATCTCGGTTTAACTTACTTTCTATCTTTTTCTAACGTTTAGAACTAGGAAAAGATGATAGTTAAGTTAAACCAAAATTAAAATTAACCTGCGTTGATAGAAATATACATAAAAGGGCAGAAAGAGATGAAAAGTGGGTTTAATCGAAGGTTACAGTTAACCGACGTTCGTGAAATTGGCCCTTAATCGGCCGATTAAACTCATCAGAGATGGTAAAACCGGCCCATACTTACTGGATTTATTTGTCGATCATGTGAGTGCTTTGTTATCCACCAATCTGCTGTCCATTCCCAAACATTTCCAACAATATTATGCAAACCATATTTATTTTGTGAAAATGTTGTAACTGGTGACGTGCCTTTGTATCCATCTTCTTCGGTGTTTTCTGTAGAAAAATTTCCTTGCCAAATATTGGCTCTACAACATAATGGTAAAATATAAATTTTTATAATATTATAACCAATATTATGTAATAATACACATATACAATAATAGCAGAAATAATATATTTATAGAAATTTAAGTTTTATAAATACAAGTTCAATTTACCTATGCTGATTATTTGGCATCAATTTATTTCCCCAAGGATAGAGTCTATCAGAGAGTCCACCACGGCACGCAACTTCCCATTCTGCTTCAGTTGGTAATCTCTTTTCCATCCAACTGCAATAAGCAACTGCATCGTACCAGGAGACATGAACAACAGGATGATCCATTCTGACTAAATACCTTCCAATTAATTTGATGATTTAAAGTTTTATACTTGTTATTCTCGTAAACAAAGTATTCAATTTTTCTTTTTCATTTTTATACGTACAAATGATATTTGAATTTGGACCTTCTGGATGTTGCCATGACGCTTGTTTCACAGGTAACCACCAAGGAGCTTGTGCAACTGCTTTATGGATTTTATCCTTTGTGCTTTGTGTCAAAAGACCTTCAAAGACAAAGGAATCTCCAAAGTTTTCTGCCTCAGTCACATATCCAGTGGCGTTTATAAAAGCCATAAATTCCTCATTACTCACTTCAAATTTATCTATGTAAAAATTATTTAATACTACTTCGCGTTTTGGTGCTTCTCCATCGGCTGAAAAAATTGGATTGTTTGTTCCTATGAAATATGTACCAGCGTTGATTTTGACCATTTTCTTCATTTTCTCAAATTTTACGCTAGTTGCGTTAAATTTAACATTATTCACAACACAATATTCTTCCAGGGAATGGAAAATTGACTGCCGATTTAGTTTGCTCATGCATTGACAGTATGCATTATCCTTCTCGGCATTTACACACAAGCAGTAATATCCGATTATTATTTGAATTTTATAAAAATAATTTAAAAGAATCATTTTAGTGTAGTAAAACACGTTTTTGTTTTAAATCATTCCCATCACGAGACAAATCACAAATTTAGCAACAAGTTCTTTGTAACTATAAGCACAGATATCTACACATTACTAAATCGCTACCTTCATCAAAAAAGGTAGGTGCATTCGTTTACGCAAGGCTGCGTGCAAAAACATCACCCGAGCGCTGAAAATCTATAGTGCACGTAACATATGCATATGCTGTAGGATATTTAGCACTCGGGTGATGTTTCTGCCCGCAGCCCTGCGTAAACGAATACACCCGGTGAATCCGGCTAGAGTCCCTAGAGATCTACGTTCGTCTAGGGCTACGGTCAACGTGACGCTACTTCTTCTTCTTCTTCTTTAATTTCGTTGGCTCCTGCCTCTAACCGAGGACAATACGGCCAGCTTTGTCCACAGAGTGTATAGCTGACACAGATGAGTGCTACTGGTCAGCAGATTAAATGCTTCGAAGCATTCCTCTTCTCTTTTCTTTCAATGAAGAAAGAAAGAGAAGAAGAACGCTCCAAAACATTTGTAGCGTCACGTTGACCATACTAGAGTTCCTATAAGAAGAGTCGATATAGTGTGATGACTTCTGATTGGTTGAGCTATTGCATATGGCGGATCGGCATAATTTTCTTTTGTTGATAAAAATGTCAATGTTTTGTGATCTTAAAATTAGGAATATGGAACATGTGTAGTACACTATTGAAAGCGTTTGTATGCATGCTAAAATGAAATACCAGTTATATTTTGTGTTACCTCCTCTCTTTTTACTCTATTCTACTCTATTTCTATACTTTTATAACAATTCACAATGTTTGAATTCGCCTTCTAATTGATGCCGCGTATTTTGTGTATTTATTTGCTACATACGTTTAGTAAACATTTTAATGCATTTAAACTAATAACTAAAGGCTGGGGTCGGACCTAAAGGCTATTCTACAATTGCGTAAACGTAGGGTTGTAGGAGTAGGAGTAGTAGTAGTCGTGAATCTTGTACAACGGATCAATCTACAATAGAGTAACGATACGTTGTAAACTTGTTTAAAGCAACCAATCAGAGTGCAGTGTGTATTTCGAATGCACTCTGATTGGTTGGCTCTTACGTTTATATCTGGCGTATATAGTCGTGAAAGATGAAGTTCAACCATCTTCCACAACACGCTTTACAACCGCAGTACCGCTTTACAACCACGCCGTACAACACTCTTAAGGGCCATCTACAATGAGTCGCAGTCGCAAGAGTTGTAAGAAATTGACCAATCACAGTTCATTATTCTTCGACCGCAAGGAGAATAATAGACTGTGATTGGTCAATTTCTTACGACTCTTACGACTGCGACTCATTGTAGATGGCCCTTTAGGGCCCGGACACACACTTTTTCGTAACAGTAACAGTAGGATTTCAACCAATCGTGTTACTCGATTCGGGAACGTACGGCCGTACGTTTTCGAATCGAGCAACGCGATTGGTCGAAATCCTACTGTTACTGTTACGAAAAAGTGTGTGTGGCCAGCTTTAGAGCCAAAGCACATAACATGGCGTAGCGATATACGACACTCGTAGTCCTCGACCTGACAAATCAGGATACGCCAAAGCTTGTGCGTTACTTACGTCCACGACTACGACTGTCATATGTGCTTTGGCCCTTAAGGTGATCCTAAAGCCGTGATCCTAGCCGGTTTTTTTCGGTTTTTTTCTTAGCACTAATCTTTTAATTGGCTTTATAGAAATGCAAAATTCTTGTCTAGAATTAAAGTACGCATCAAAATCTAGGTCATGGTGGTCGAATTTATAT